ATTACCACCGCCTCTCCCTCCCCCGCCCTCAAACAAATTGCAGTATCTTCCTCATCCTCCGACAATACGTCAATTTTCCAAAATAAACGGCTTCTCAATTAACGAACCCCCAGTGTCCCGTTATCCCAGCTGCCCAATAGCACCACGTCATCGTTATCATAGAAAAAAAAAAAATGTGCAATAAGGCTCTTGTGGCCTGGCGCGGTCTACGATCCCCGTAAGGCCCCTCCTTAACTTTTGGTCCACGACGAGGTGATCGAGTGGTAACGAATGTTTGATCCTGTAGAAGGAGGAGCCACAGGAGGACAAGAACAACGACTCTGGCATTTCGCCCGGGCATTACACAAGCGAGTCCGCTTCGCCTCGCAGCCGGCGCTCCTCGTCCACGGCCAACTGTAGTCTCTCGCCCAGGAGCGCCTCCTCCCAGGATTCCAACGGCATGCCTATGAACTCGTACGAGTTCAGTCCCCAGAGGCACTATAAGACCTGCGACTCGCCGCTCGACTCGCCGCTCGACTACGCGCGCGTCCAACACCATCACCACCATCACCATGGAGCCGCGGCTCTTGACGACAGCTCCCAGCACCATCTCGACAGTCAGCAGATGCTCACGACCGACATCGTATCCTCGAGCACCACTGCGACAGGGCCCGGCCATGACGAGCCCGACTCCATCGAGGTCTCTCCAGATCCCTTGCAGTGTCCCATATGTAACTTTTCCACCCAGAGCAGGTAAGCGCGAACCTACCATTAGCATTTATCATTAGCCAACTTCGCGCTCTCTCTCCGAATTTTTTTCATTACATTCGCCTTCGTTTCCCTTACGCCGCATCGAATATTCGCTTCAATTCCAGCAATTTGCTCATAACTAACAATTTGCTCGCGAAGTATATCGCGCACCCTTCGGCTGTAACGGAGTTGAGTGCTAAAGGCACGACGACGGTCAACGTAACTCGCGTCATATCATTTTCGATAATATTATATTCGATATATTTTCGATATTGGATGAATGGGGCTAGAGCCGCATCAGCGGCCAACAAGTTGAGCAAACGAATAATCTCCCTGCAATTAAATGGAATCGAGTGGAGTCGCGGTTGGGTGGGTGGGTAGGCTTTAGAAACGAAAATAAAAAAATAAAAAAAATAAAAAAATTAAAAATTAAAATGTCAGAATCCAGAATAAATTACACGAATTAATGAAATTGCCGATGAAAGCTGATTAATTAATGGTGCTACGCTTAAGAGTGCACGTGTCCGGATTATTGTATTGTCAAGGCCCGTGCAAGAATATTGGATTGATAAGTTGACAGACGCTCACTCTCCACGGAGAATAATAATTACCGAGAGCGAGAGCGCGTCGAGTACTTTTATCGGGACTCTTTTAAAAGTCTGCCCTATGTAGGCCGGAAAATGTGCACACAAGTGCCTTTTAATCAACGTGAGAATCTATCGAGAAATGATCAAACGACGTTTAAATTACGTTAATCGCTCTTTATAGGCTGCAGTTCACACAGCATCTCGTGAGCCACTGCACGAAATGCGACACGTCCGAATTCACCAAATCGGTAATGGACCAATTGACGAACGGTGGCAGCATCGGCAGCCCCGAGGAGCTGAGTCGCGCCTCGCCGAATCAACACGAGCGGAACTCGGAGCACGAGCTCGAGGAATCGGACGAGCCCGGGCTTCGGGTGCCGCGGGTCAACTCCCAAGGGAAGGTCAAGACCTTCCGCTGCAAGCAGTGTAATTTCGTTGCCATAACGAAGCTCGACTTTTGGGAGCACAGCCGCTGTCACATTAAGGCCGAGAAGCTGCTCACCTGCCCCAAGTGCCCGTTCGTCACCGAATACAAGCACCACCTCGAGTACCACCTGCGCAACCACTTTGGCTCCAAGCCCTATAAATGCGACAAGTGCAGCTACTCGTGCGTCAACAAGTCCATGCTCAACAGCCACCTCAAGTCCCACTCGAACGTCTATCAGTTTCGCTGCGCCGACTGCTCCTACGCGACAAAGTACTGCCACTCACTCAAGCTCCATCTCAGAAAGTACGAGCATAAGCCCGCGATGGTACTGAACGCCGATGGTTCGCCGAATCCGCTGCCCATCATCGACGTCTACGGCACGAGGCGCGGTCCCAAGACCAAGCCCAAGAAGGATCATGACCAGCATCGCCAACAACAGCAGCAGCATCAACAACAACAACATCAACATGAGCAACAACAGCAGCAGCAGCAGCAGCAGCAGCAGCAGCAGCAGCAGCAGCAGCAGCAGCAGCAGCAGCAGCAGCAGCAGCAGCAGCAGCAGCAGCAGCAGCAGCAGCAGCAGCAGCAGCAGCAGCAGCAGCAGCAGCAGCAGCAGCAGCAGCAGCAGCAGCAGCAGCAGCAGCAGCAGCAGCAGCAGCAGCAGCAGCAGCAGCAGCAGCAGCAGCAGCAGCAGCAGCAGCAGCAGCAGCAGCAGCAGCAGCAGCAGCAGCAGCAGCAGCAGCAGCAGCAGCAGCAGCAGCAGCAGCAGCAGCAGCAGCAGCAGCAGCAGCAGCAGCAGCAGCAGCAGCAGCAGCAGCAGCAGCAGCAGCAGCAGCAGCAGCAGCAGCAGCAGCAGCAGCAGCAGCAGCAGCAGCAGCAGCAGCAGCAGCAGCAGCAGCAGCAGCAGCAGCAGCAGCAGCAGCAGCAGCAGCAGCAGCAGCAGCAGCAGCAGCAGCAGCAGCAGCAGCAGCAGCAGCAGCAGCAGCAGCAGCAGCAGCAGCAGCAGCAACAGCAGCAGCAGCAACAGCAGCAGCAGCAGCAACAACAGCAGCCATCGCCGACGGCCAATGGACTGTTAAGCGGCCTCCTGCCGGCGGTCGTGCCCCAGCAAGCATCGGTTCTCAATCCCCACTTCCAGTTCAGCCCTGGACACGGCGTTAACGGTATGGGGAAGATCGGCGGTTTCGCGAGCTTCAACGATGGTGGCGGCTTCCCCGCGACACCAGCCCTCATCGGCTTCCCTTACAATCAGCTATTCGGCGGCTTTCCCATTCCGACACCCTTTGCCGTCGGTCCGGGCGGCGACGAGGTCAGTGAGAAGCAGTTCGAGCGCCTCAAGGCCAACTTCATGGAGTACGCTAAAAATGCCAGCGACGTCAACGCCAAGATTGCGGACGAGCTGTTGTCGAGCGGCGGTGAGTCATATAAGGACGAGTCCCTGTCTCCGTACGGCAATTTCCCGGGTCTTCTTCTCTCCCCGGAGTCGGTGAAGCGGGAGCGAACGTTCGAGTCCCCCGAATCCAAAGCCGCGCCTCTGGACTTGAGTAAACCCGAGCCCAGCCTAAGCGATAATTCGAGGATGACCGCGGGCGTAGTGGGTGCAGCGCTGGCGGCGGCGGCGGCGGCGGCGGCGGTGGCAGCTGTAACGGCGACTATGACAACGACGACGACCATAACAACAACAACTACGACGATGACGACGACAGCAACGTCACTGTCGTCTTCGTCGTCGTCGTCGTTGTCGTCGTCGTCGTCGTCGTCGTCGTCGTTGCCGTCGTCGTTGCCGTCGTCGTTGCCGTCGTCGTTGTCGTCGTCGTTACCGTCGTCGTTGCCGTCGTCGTTGCCGTCGTCGTTGCCGTCGTTCCCGTCGATGTCTATGGCAATGGCGATGAGTTCGTCGTTGGCATCGTCTTCGTCATCGCTGCTATTGTCGTCAACGTCAACGTCAACGTCAACGCTAACGCCAACGCCAACGCCAACGCCAACGTCAACGTCAATACCAACGACAAAGCCAACGTCAACGCCCACGTCAACGTCAACGCCGACGCCAACGCCGACGCCAACGCCTATGGCAACGGCGGCGTCTACGTCAACAGCAACATCAACGTCCTCGGTCACGGCTTTGACGACGAAACTCGCGGCGACCGTCTCCTCAAATTCGCCAAGAACCGGCGGCACCAGTAGGCGCAAGGGTCGAGCCGTGAAGCTCGACAGGCGCGTGATGGAAAACGACTCGGATGAGGAAATGGCGCAGGAGGAGACGCGGCACGCGGACAGGTTCGACGTATCACCGCCCTCGGCCTCCCCGGCCTCGAGCGACTCCAAGGACTCCAAGGACTCGGCACAGGCCGCGCACTTCGCCGGGGTTGGCATGAGCAACGAGTTCATCTGCCAATACTGCGAGATATCCTTCGGTAACGAGGTCATGCACTCGGTGCACATGGGCTACCACGGCTACCAGAACCCATACACGTGCAACATGTGCGGCATCCAGAGCACCGACAAGGTCTCATTCTTCTTGCACATCGCGCGCTCCAAGCACTAGTCCACGAGGACTGGAACTTCGACGCTCGAACTCGGACCCCCGGCTGGCAGACCCGGGGAGACCTCTCGACGGTCGATGGTCGATCGAGCGTTGCGCCCTCTAGCGACGACTAGAGGACATTCTTTACTGGTGCAGATTGTGCGCTAGTAAGGATGAGTAGGGGAATCGTCCGATTGCGGCTAGCTTGCGGGTCAGCGATGGGCAGCAAATGGATTATGTTGGCCGATTGGCCGAGGAGCGTTTCTTCTCCTCTTACCAGCTTTTACTTCCTTTAATGGCAACCGCCTTTTTTAAACGATTGATATTATGAATCGCACGTGCGAGTGGTTATTTATTTAATGGGACATTCGTGGTCGTCGGACAGTTGCTTTTGAGATGCTGATTTGCATGCTAGCCACCCTAGACCTTTTATTCTTTATTTACACGCAACTTTTTTTTTATTGATTCGCTGCTACTATTCCACTCTAGTATGTTAGATTATTGTATTAGATAAGTGAGATTGTTTGATAAGTGGCGTATCATTAGGAAAGATGTACGAATAAGAGTCAATAGTCTGTATTTTTTTCTTTTCACGTGCGAGCGAAAAAAATAATTCGTTCCCGGAGGTAATTATGTGCCATTTTTTTATGTACAATATAGGATTCATACGCATGTTGTGGAATAAAGAATTTGTGAGGCTAGCGCTCGCAATAGGGCAAACGTTTTTGTATGAATGCAACAGCCTGTTTTCGCGAATAGTTGTGTATTATTAATAATTTCTATCTATCTATCTATCTATCTATCTATCTATCCCCCCCCCCTCCCCACTCTCTCTCTCTCTCTTTCTCTTTCGTTCCCCCTCTCCCTCTCCCTCTCCTTTTCATTCTATTTTTTTCTTCTTATTGTTCGCGTTAACAGCGAATGATAAAGAGAGAACGCGAAAACATAGCTAACGAGGAAGATAAGATGAAGAAAATCTCTGCATTCTAGTCAAAAATGATAAGCAAAAGATAAACAACGAGCGGATGCTGTGAGTGTCGAGAAGCTCGGGGTGCAATTTTGGTAATTCTAAAGAGTCAATTAGAGTCACTGATCATTTGCGTTTGCGGAATCACCAAAGACGAATGTATACAATTCCATTGACTATTTACTTTGTATAGACCTCATTGGAGATGGGAAAGAAAAATAAAAAATAAAAAAAAATAAAAAATAATGAAAAAAAAATTTTACAATTGTAAACTGCAAGCCTCTGACATATGAATACTAGGACGTTTTTATAAGAATTTATAATAAATAATGTAATATTTACATTTATTGGTTGATATTAAAGGTACAAATGATAGTAATGCGTAGATAATGATTTGTATACCACATTGTCAATGATTTTCCGCACGCGTTTTCTGGCTGTTAATGCGACGAATGCGACTTGAAGGAGTAAGATACATGATTCGAAGGTTGCGTTGCGAATATTAAATGGTATATTTTCGCAAAATATGCAGTCGACAGAATTTGTTTAGTTAGTTTAGTTTTAAGTTACATTGTATAATTGCATTTTTGCAGAAAAAGTAATTTTTTTTCAACAATTTGTACATTATTTGATTTTTTATTTGATACTTACTATAAAATGCTCTTTTTATACTTTTTCTTTTTCTTTTTTTTTTCTCGAAATCCGTTGCATATGTTATGTAAACTTTTGTAGTTTAACATTCTAAAGACTTAGACACCGGAAAAGTGTGTATTCCTTCGTATAATCGCAAAATAGCGACGGTCGTCGAGATTTTTGTACTTTTTCAAAAAACATGAGATATCAGTATTTTTCTATTGTAGGCGATTTCCAAGATGACTGCGGTGAGAGAAAAATGTAAGAATACGGGTGAAAGCGAGCGAGTATGACTATACGAAAAAATGAGCGATTGTACGCACGTATGCATGTATGTTAATGTTGTTACACACTCAAGCACATTCGAGCGCGCGCGCGCTTATACACAAACGCACACACGCTCACGGGTATACGCAAAACAAACACACGGACACAAGCGCGCGCACTCACTCACTCACTCACTCACTCACTCACTCACTCACTCACTCACACACGAAGATATAATGTAGCAAATGAAAAAAGTAGTACTTATGTAATAGTAATTTCAGCTCTAAGAAGTCAAGAGCTAAAGATTGTACATGTTTATTGTCGTATAGACATATGCGACAGGTATATTTTCATAACGCGATAATCACTGTAAATGATGGTGTAATCGATGCGTTTAAATTAAGTAATACGAGGGATTTTTTTTCTTTGATTAGCTAAGCAGAGATTTACGTTGAAATTTTTTTGTCTATCGAAGCGCATGCGAGTAATTGGTTCATTCCTTTGTATAAGCTGTTATATTCCTTCCACTCTAGTACACATAAAAATAAATAGCCTACTTTATTAATTTATTTTAAGTTTATTATAAATATTAATTATTACTTGGTACACAATGCATTTTCATCTCCTAAACACTTAAAACAATAAACACTTAAGATAATTCTCAACAAATCTTGCACTACTTTTTTATTGTTATCATTATCACTATCGCTATCACTATTATTATTATTATTATTATTATTATTATTATTATTATTATTATTATTA